AGCAAGTGGCAGATAGCTCAGGGTCTCTTGTTCCACATGAAGGCTGCTTGGGCTTGATGGTCTTGACATATCAATGGCTATGAAAGCCCATTGTCCTGAAAATAAAATCTCCCTGCCTACTTCCTCCTTTTTTTTTTTTTTTCTCCTGAGGGTCTGACTATGCAAAGCTGGCTGGCATGGAACTCACTTTGTAGACTAGTCTGGCCTCTAACTTGCCCCTTTCCTTCTTCTGTTTCCCACGTGCTTATAGGCCCATACCACTATGCCCAACTTGAAAGTGCTGAAGTGCCGGGGAAGCCTTGTGTCTGTCTTCCTAACAGTCTTTCCTTCATACATGGCATGTGTGTGTGGAGTCCATACTTAATACAGTCAAGATGATATGCTCAATGAACCATGAGCTTCAGAATCCCGTACATTTCTGTATATCCTCTCTCCCTCAGGAACCAGGAGATTCTGCCTGATGAGGAGAGTCTTTAGCAGCTCTGTAGCTAGGAGGCCTCAATAAAGACCATGCTGATACAATGGGGATACATAGACTTACGATCCAAAGCAAACTGAGAAAACTGTAGACTGCGATCAGAGAGCATGCCTACCAGGCACCTCTGCCTGAGGTACCCAGACCCTGCCAGCATCCCCAAGGTCTTCCTCTCTCATCTGTTCCTCGGTTTCTGCTTCCTTCCTGACTGCCTTTTACCTTTTTGCTTGTATGGTCTCACTCTGTAACCCAGGCTGATATCTTGACCTCAAGGTGGTCTTTTTACTCCACTATTGGGATTATAGGTGTGATTTACCACACATGACCTTGACAACACTGTCAACCTTTCAGTCTGATGAATCTTACTTTCCCAGTCATTCTTTCTTTCTTTCTTTTTGACAGGATCTCATGTAGGCCAGCCTGGCTTGAATACTCTATATAACCAAGGATGACCTTGAACTCTTGATCCCCGGCTTCTATGTCTCAGGTTCTGGTGAAGTAGGCAAGCATAGAGGGTAGCTTAGGTAACTTGGTAGCTTTTATTATTATTTCATTTTTTCTTTTATTGAAAATTGATTTTTTTGTCATAAAATACGTGCTGGTTATGGTTTCTGCTTCCTCTATTTCTCCCAATGCCTCCCCACCTCCCCTCCCATCTGGATCCACCCTCTTTCTGTCTCTCTTTAGAAAACAAACAAGCTTCTGAGGGATAATAAATAAAACAAAAAAGATAAAACAAACCCAAATACGAACAGGACAAAACAAACAGAAGGAAAAGAGCCTAAGAAAAGGCACAGAAACCAGATATAGACACACAGACCCACTTATTCACACAGTTAAGAATCCTGTAGAAACACAAAACCAGAAGCCATAATATACATACAAAGGACCTGCAGGGTAAAAAGGGAGAAAAAATACAAATAAAAAATAATAAAAGATAAACTTTAAAAAAAGAAAAAAGCCCTGACAAAATATTATGAGACAAAGTAACTCCAAAGATGTCATTGAGTTCGTTGTGTTGGCCATCTACTCCTAGGCCTGCAGCCTACCCTTAAAAGTAGTTTCCCAAGTGAGTCTGACTCCCTTGAAGAAAGCTACATTTTTATTTGCAAGAGGTTATCAACTGGAGAAGGCTTCTGGGTTAGGAATGTGGACAGGTGTCCACTTTTCCTTTCAGCTCTAGGTTCCCATCTGGTTCAGACCAATGCAGGCCCTGTGCATGCTGCCACGGTCTCTGTGTGTGCCAGTCCTGTGCCCGTGTTTAGAGATCGTTGTTCCCTGGGTGTCTTCATTCCCCTCTGGTTCTTACAGTCTTTCTGCCTTCTCCTCTGAGGTGTGCCCTGAGCCCCGAGGGAGGTATTTAATAGACACATCCTGTTTAGGGCTGAGTTTTCCACGCTCTCTCACTCTCTACATGTTATCTGGCTGTGGGTCTCTGTATTTGTTCCCATCCGCTGCAGGGGAAAGCTTCCCTGATGCTGGCTGAGGAAGGCATTGATCTATGAGTCTAGCAGAATGTCATTAGGAGACGTTTTGTTGCTGCTCTCCTTTAGTAGAACAGGATTTGGTTTTCCCCTTTGGTCTATGGGCTCTCTGATCTCAGATCCTTGGCCACTCCAGCAGTCAGGTATAGGTTCCTTCTCATGGGGCAGGCCTTAAGTCAAATCGGATATTGCTTGGTTACTCCCAGAAACGTTGTGCCCCCATTGCACCAGCATATCTTGCAGGGAGGACACCATTGTAGATAGAAGGGTTTGTAACTGCTTTTCTCCTTTGGTAGAGTGCACAGTACCTTCCAGTACTAAGAACACTAGCCCACAGAGGTGAAGGCTCTATGGAGACACCAGCTCTACTTTTCCATGTTCAGTGAGTTGTGAGGTGTTGTATTCCGCACAGGGCATTGGTGTCAGTGTGCAGAGAGTGACCTATGGTATTGGTAACAGCTTGGGTTGGGGGTTCCCATAGGACCTCTTTGGACGACAACTTAATTAGATGTAACTCATTCCCAGTACTGGTGGCTTCATTTGGTGACAAGAGATGTCCAGTTGGAGAGTTATTAATTATGAATGCTTGACCTTAGCTTAGGCTTGTCCCACTAGCTCTTTTAATTTAACCTGTTTCTATTCACCTGTGTTTTTGCCTCAGGGCTTTTTACCTTTCTTTCATTCTGTTTCCTACTTTCCTGCTTCCTCTGTGTCTGTCTGGCTGGCCCCTGGCCTCCTCTTCTTTCTTCCCTGAGCCTAAATTCCCCCTCCTCCTTACTCTCCTTGCCCAGACATCCTGTCTATACCTCCTCCCTCGCTATTGGCCATTAAGTATTTTATTTGACCAATCAGGTGTCTTAGACAGGCAAGGTAAAACAGCAACACATCATTACATAAATAAACAAATACAACACACATTTGCATAGTTAAACAAATGCAAACCGTCTTTGCATAGGTAAATATTTTGCAACAGTTGGGGCCCTATCTCCCCGTTATTCAGCAATTTCATTTAGATTGCCTTCATACATGTATATATTTTAGGAAGCTGTACTGTATTTGGTTTTCATACTGCCCCTCAAATGGCTGCTTCTCCCCATATTCACCCCTCACCCCCTCTTCCCTCTCTCTACCCTCTTGATTCTCCCATTCCAAGTGCACCCCACACTCCCATCCATAGCTATCCCTTTCCCTTTCCTAGGGAACCCCCCCCCCCCATCGCTAGTCCCTTATTCTATACCTAACCCCTGTGGTTCTACAGATGGTAGCTTGCTTGTCATTGCCTTAACAGCTAATACCCACATATAAGTGAGTACATACCATATTTATCTTTCTGGGTCTGGATTACCTCAGGATGGTTTTTTCTAGTTCTATTCATTTACCTGGAAATATTTCATTTTTTGAACAGCTGAGTAATATTCTATTTATACCCCCTCTTTTAACTATGCACTTGACACCCTAGGACCCCCCCCCACACACACTATGAACACGTCCCTCTCTTAACAACCGAAGATCTCAATGACACTCCCCTCCAAACAATGAAATAAGTCTCTCTGCCCCAACAATCATCCAAAGCTCCTCTTTCCTAGATATTTGCTATTCAGAAGTATTTCCAGTTAAATCTGGGTATGAGGGCAAGGAGAACAATCTGGCGGGAACTGGTTTTGAATACATGTAAAATAAGGCATACTATGTCCTCTGAGTGAACATTGAAGGAGAATTCCCTATTTTCTGTCTTTTGCCTATGCATAATTGGGCATACATATGATTAATATCAGATGCATTGTGGGAAGGGACTGGCTCAGCAGAAAAAAGGTTATGTCCTTCAAACCTGGTAGTCAAAACAGCCATGCTAGTATTCTTAGCTCCAAACTTCTGTTTCTCTTGAACTCTGTAAAAGGAAGCCCCAAACAATAACCTGGGGTCCCTGGAGTACTCTTACTCCTGTGTCATCCACTGTCATTCTTTTTATCTACTTGAGAAAGGGTCCAATGCAGCTCATTTGGTTTGGAGCCTGTAATGTAACCCAGGATGACCTTGGATATCGGATTCTCCAGCCTCTACTTCCCAAATGCTGGCATTATAGGCTTGTATCCCCCCACACAGCTTTTTGCTCCTACTGGCCCTCCTGACAGCATGTTGTTGAATTGTATTAGCTCTTTGGTTTTTAACAAAGTTCCCATGCTCCTTTGCTGTCTCTGTGCTCCTTCATTACAAGTTTTGGTGAGAGACCTGGAACTTGGAAACATCAGGTCCTAACACTGACCTCTAGGAACACTAGAGTTACAAGGATATGCCACCATGTCCAGTTCATGAGGTGCTGGGGATCCTAACCATGGTTCTTCGTGAATGCTAGGCAAATACTCTATCTACTGAGTTACATCCCCAGTCCAACCCTGAGCTCTCTATTCTCCTGCCTCCACCTCCCAAGTGTGGCATGACCGGTGTGCACCAGCAAACCCCGCCCTATTTCTTTATTGCTATTTCCCCTTCAGCTTCCTGTTTACTGACCTCATTTTGTTCCCACACATCTTTCTCTCCCACCTTTCCAATTTATGCTTCATTATGATAGACCTAGATTATTGTCACGGTCTCTATGAGAGCCTCTTGTATCCATCTTGGCCCTGAAAACTGCCCTTGATCTTGCTTTACTGTGGTTCTTGAAATATGCAAATAGCCTATCCCACTAGGACCCCTGTGTAGGCCAGAGAGACACTGGATTCTAACAAGATTCCCCCTTCTTTCAAACAAACAAACAAACAAAAAACCCCACAAAAAAACTATTTTTTGATTTTTTTTTTGAGACAAGATGTTATGTATCCTGGACCAGTCTCAAACTTTTGATATAGCTGAGCATAAAACTTCTGATCCTCTCATCTGCACCTTATGAGTGCTGGGATCACAGATGTACACCTCCACAGTCAGTCTATCAGGTGCTGGGGATTGAACCAGGGCCTCGTGCACTCCATGAATGCACTCGGTGTAGTTCGTGTAGTTCTCTGCTAACAGAGCCATTATTGTCTCCTCGCTGTGCCTGTCTCTAGGTCCCCAGGCCCAGACTTGATTCTGCACACCATGGCTTTTTTGCTTCCTGAGCAAGGTGAGTGTTTGCTTGGCTTCTTCGTTTTCTTTTATTTGGTCTCTGTGCCTTGGCTGCACCTGTCTCCTGCTCTGGGTTGCTCTTTCCACCTCCCACCACCTAACCTGGGAAGACTTCATGAAACAAGTCCTTCTGGATGTTTTCATCCTAAGCATCTGGCCTGCAAACAAGCACACTGCAGGTGTTCACCAAAATACTGACCGAATGGGAACTGGGCTTGTGCTTCAACGGTGGAACACTAGCCTGGCGTGGGTGAGGTCTGCAGGGCCATGGTTAGCACAGCAAAAAGTGAAAGTGTTGAAGGGACAATAACTAAAACCATGAAGAAATGGGAGGAGGAGGAGAGAAGTACAGGGAGCAGTGACAGGTGGTGGCGGCGGCGGCGGCGGCGGCGGCGGCGGCGGCGGCGGCGGCAGCGGCAGCAGCAGCAGTATCACCAGCACAATCACCAAATGAAAGCATTGTTTGGTTTGGTTTGTTTGTAGGCTATTGACTGTGGGCTCCAGGTCCTCCTGTCTCTGCCTCCGAAGCGCTGAAATTATCGGTGTGTGCCTCCACGCCATGGTGGGAACCTTCTTGACATGTGAGCACAGTCCAAACCACCCCTTTGTTCTTGGAGCTGCATAATCTCATTTACTCTCAGGGGGGCCCATGGGCACATTTCCTGGCATGTGGTGCATATAGGTACAGGCGTTCTGCCGATGTCATGTGCTATCAACATTGCCGTAGTTGGTAAATAAATAGCCATTGTCCCTAGACCACTGTGACTCCTTCTCAAGAACAGTTCCTTGCCTGAAAGCCTTGATCCTCTTTTATTTTTTTATTTGGAGGCTTACATGTTTTTAAAGTTTCTTTGTAGGGTTCATGTCCATTATACACACAGGTGTCAGAGGACAGTATGGTGGAGTCCGTTCCCTCCTTTCATATGTATGTGGGTTCAAAGGAATTGAACTCAGGTCATCAGGCTTCTAAACAAACAGTTACTGAGCTCTCTCACCTACCGTTTTTTTCCCCTTCGGACAGGTCCTCATATATATGTAGCTCAGGCTTAGTCATTCTATGTAGCCAAGGATGTAACCTTGAACTTCTGATCCTCCTGCTTCCACCTCCCAAGTCTGGAATTATGGGTGTGTGCCACCACACCAGGCTGGCTGCTTGCTTGCTTGCTTCCTTCCTTCCTTCCTTTCTTTTTTTGAGATAGTATCTTGCTGTCTTGCTCAGGCCAACCTTAAACTCTTGGGTGTCCTCCTGCCTCAGTCTCCCAAGTGTTGGGATTATGAATCTCACAGATTTTGCAGCTGTGGTGCTTCTTTGTGACCCAGCAATGAAAAGGTTATCTCTGGACATGGAGGAAGGGACAGAAATCTGATGCTCTCCACCTGTAGTGGATGTCCTGCTACGTGGACCATTAAATGTGTCCCTTGTCACCATTGCCCATATGTGTGTACTTGTGTGTCACAGGGTCCATTTTATACAGCCATATTAGATTAAACAAATGCCCAAGGTCACCCAGCAGGCTCATGGTTTCCCTGCCTGAGAATCCAGGCTCCTCCCAGGACTTGGTCAGGACCTCCGCCTGCCTCATATATTCTTTGTGCTGCCAAGCATTTTGGTTGATTGCAACCTGCCCCTGTTTTCACATATTCCTCTGTACTCAAGGTGAGACTTAGGGTAGCCAAATGCCAGGGTTTAAGAATGGCGTCCTATTTTCCCAAGCTTAAAATACAACACCAAGCAATGGGGTCTTTCTTCTGGTAAAGATCTATTCCCCTGGGAAGTGTGTGTGTGTGTGTGTGTGTGTGTGTGTGTGTGTGTGTGTGTGTGTTTCAAATTCAACTTGTTCAAATAAAATTCCATCTACACAGAAGCATAATGGGGTGATCTTCCTGTCCTAAACACATCATTACTTTCCTTCAGTTCTAACTGCTCTCCTTCCAGACTAATGGAGTCCGTTTTCTGCTTGTGCCTCACGGAGGGAGAGTGGGGTTGTGCAGGCCGAGTGCAGAGCATGATATTTAGTGCTGGTTTTGGACTTGAAGTCCGAAATGTACTTACAAATAAAAACACACTTCCAAGAACCAACATCTCATACTCGAAAGTCACCTCCCGACTCTGTGTCTGCCAAACTGCGACATGGGGGTATGACCAGTCTTCTCTTCCACCAGGAAACCAGGACGTTCTCTGGGCTGTCCTCCCACCTCCAGCTCCTTCAAAAAGGCTTTCAGTTTCTCATCCTTACTGCTAAACTGCCGTTCTGGAAGCCTTGAACACTTGTGTCTAAGGCCATGTTGAAATAGTAGCTCTCAGTTTTGGTCTGTTAACACAGGGTCTCTACAGCCCAGGCTGGCCTCAGACTTGCTATGTGGAAGAGGCTAGTTTTGAACTCCTGATTCTCTTGCCTCTGCCTCCCAGGTGCTGAGATTAATACCACCACACCTAGTGTACTCTCTATTTGATTGGCCTGTGACATGTCACAAACTAATAGCAAGCTTGCAAACATTATTGAGTACCTACTGTGTGCCAGATGCTAGTCCAGGAGGAAGGAATTATCTGTATTTCAAGTTTAGTATACATTTTCCCCTAATATCAATTGATTGATTGATTGATTGATTGATTATTCTGGGAGTCAACAGGGTTTTCTTGCTCATGCTGGGTGAGTTCAATGCATCAGACCCTTTTAGCATCCTCAAAGTTAGAGTAGTAGGGTATGATGACCCACGTGTAATCCCAGCACATGGAAAGGCAGAGACAGGGTGACCAGGAGACCAAGATCATCCTCAGGTACATTGTGAGTTCAGGCTAGCTTGGGCTACATAAAACTCTGTCTCAACTGCCTCCACCCCTCAGAAAAAGAAAAAAAACCTCAAACAAAATTAAAAATGAATAAAAACAGAAGAAAAATTGTCAAAATGGGAGTATGTATTATAAGTAATGGCTCTTACAGTTGTAGACACAAGGGCTTTCAGTGTGCTAATGTCTTGAGCATTTGGTTTCATGTGTAAATAGTCACATGTAAAGCACAAAGGAAGGATGAGTGATAGCAAATTTTAGGTTCAAAGAACTGTTTTGTTCTGTTTTGGTAGGGGAGGGATATCCCACTGACTCACCTAGGCTAATCCGGAATTCCTGGGCTCAGTCCCATTTCCTGTCTGAGCCTTCTAAGTACCTGGACAAAAGGATTCATGCCATCACACCCAGCTTGAAGAATTCCTTAATTGAGTAAAAAGTGAAAACTCCTAAGGGTGAGGAAGACAGTGTCGTGGTGTAATTAACATACTTTTTCTTTCGTAGGTAAAATAATGACTCCAAAAATTCCCCGACATGTTGTACAACACAGTAACTACATTGCATTGTGTTCTGAAATTGACAAGAGAGTAGATGCTCATACCACAAAAATGATTAAGTATATGAGGCAATACATAAGTTAATTAGCTCACTTGAGTGTCTACATATTTCAAGTCCAATTTTGTTTTTGAGAAGAGTCTTAACTATATAACCAGAGTGGGCCTGAAACTGCATAACCAGGTTGGCCTTAGACTTGTAGTAATCGTCCTGCCTCAGCTTCTTGAGTGCCAGGATTACCAGTGTGCACCATTGTACCTGGATGAAAATGTATAATTATTTGTCAACTAAAATAAGAAATGTCATGATAACGTCAGGTAAGCTGAGGCATGAGGATTACAGTATGGTCAAGGCCAGCCTTGGCTCCATAGTCAAATCCTATTTCTTTTTTTGTTTGTTTTTTTTTTTTTTTAATTTTATAGAGACAGGGTTTCTCCGTGTAGTTTTGGTGCCTGTCCTGGATCTCTCGAACTCACAGAGATCCTCCTGGTTCTGCCTCTGAGTGCTGGGATTAAAAGCGTGTGCCACCGCCACCCGGCTCAAACCCTATTTCAAAACAAACAAACAAAAGACAAAGTTACAAGATAAAATCACTAAATACGTTTTAAAAAACAGGAAAGGATGTAACTGAGTTGGTTGAGTACTTGCCTACCATTCAGGAAACTGGAAGAATCAATCCCCAGTACTGTGAAAACTTGGTGTGCTATGGTGTTCCTGTAATCCTAGGCAGGAGGAGAGCAAGCTCAAGGTCATCCCTGGTGACAAAGTGAGATGTAGCCAGTCTGTGGTAAATGAGAGCCTGTTGAAAGAAAGAAAGAAGGAAAAAAAGAAAGTAAGAAAGGAAGAAGAAAGAATGAGAAAGAATGAAAGAGAAAGAGAAAGGAATAAAGAAAAGGAGAAAGGAAGAAAGAAAGACAGGAAAAAAGAAAGAAGAAAGAAAACGTCTTAGTTACTTTTATAATACTGTGCTAAAACACCATGAGTGAGGCAAGTTATAAAGTGTTTAATTTGGGGGCTCACCGTTTCAGAGGGTTAGAATCTATGGTTATCGTGGGAGGACCCTGATAATAGACGGGCAAGCAAGGCGCTGGAGCAGAAGTTAAGAAGTCTCATCTTGATCCACAAGCACAGGACAGAACTGGGAATGGTGTGGGTTTTTGTGCCTCCTTCAACAAGTCCACATCTCCTAATCCTTCCCAAACACTTCCACTAAACAGAGACCAACTATTCAAACATATGAGCCTGTAGGGACCACCCTCATTCAAGACACCAAAAGAGCAAAAATCTATTGGAATCCTGCATTTGCTAAGATATTACATCTGAGACAATGGAGCCTGGGAAGGTAAAGGGGAGATAGCATTTGAACCCAGGACACATGGCAGGACAAGACTTCTAAATAGAGAGAGATGCACACAGGCAAGGAAGAATATACCTGCCTTTTGGGGGAAGAATACTTTGCTCCCAGGCCAGTGACAGAGAACCACGTGTTCTTGGATACACAATGAAAAGTCTTGTTCTGTTGGGGGAGGAATATACTTGGGGCTGTGCAGTAGAATGGTGTCAGCCTGTGTGGTAAAGGAAGGGCATGGGGATGAGAATTGAGAGGGTACATAGTGGTCCAACAGAGAAGAGTGTATGGGGCTGTGGGCGGAGTGCTT